TTGTTTATGAATGGTGGTGGGGGGGGGGGGTGGTGGTGGTGTGTGTGCAGACACGTGTCTGCATTTATAATATAATACATGTAAATTCAATGTAAGAATGCTTTCCAAAAGCACATAATTAGTACCTTGTTCATGAGTATTGGGAAAATGTCAGATACAAATATATAGACACTGCTGACAAATGTTGTTAATGCTAAACTTTAATAGTACTAATATAGTTCTAAAAGTTAGCTTTTAATTGTGCAGTATTCATAGAATCATAGAATCGTTTAGGTTGGAAAAGACCTTTAAGATCATCCAGTCCAACCATTAACCTAACACTACCAAGTCCACCACTAAACCAATTAAGGGTAGAGTAGCAATTTCATGTTTCCTGGCTTGGTGGCTGGATTATTTTTTAATGAAATTAAAAACTAGGAGTCATTAAGGTTGGAAAGGACGTCTAAGATCATCAGTCCAACTGTCAACCCAACACCACCATGCCTACTAAACCATGTCCCAAAGTGCCACGTCTACCCGTTTTTTGAACACCTCCAGGGATGGTGACTCCACCACCTCTCTGGGCAGCCTGTTCCAATGCTTGACCACCCTTTCCATGAAGAAATTTTTCCTATCCAATCTAAACCTCCCCTGACGCAGCTTGAGCCCATTTCCTCTCATCCTATCACTAACTACTTGGGAGAAGAGACCAACGCCCACATCACTACAACCTCCTTTGTTGTAGAGTTGTAGAGAGCGATAAGGTCTCCCCTCAGCCTCCTCCAGGCTAAACAATTTGAGGTCCCTCAGCTGCTCCTCATCAGACTTGCTCTCTAGACCCTTCACCAGCCTCATTGCCCTTCTCTGGACACGCTCCAGCAACTCATTGTCCTAATTGTACTGAGGGGCCCAGAACTGGACACAGTATTCCAGGTGCAGCCACACCAGTGCCGAGTACAGGGGGACGATCACTTCCCTGCTCCTGCTGGCCACACTATTCCTGATACAAGACCGGATGCTGTTGG